ATGGTTTGACTTAATGAAAGAACGTACGGAACTGCGTAGATACGAAAAGGAACTTCTAGTGCGTGCGCAAGAAGTTCAATTGGAAGATCGTCATGAACGATTGCAACAAGAATTGCGTGAACGGTTAGCTGATGATGGTAAATATTTTCAAATTTTGTAATTATTAATTTATTATTTTATGATAATTATTAGAATTTATCGAACATTAAATATTCTATTAAAAAACGCACACAAAATGTTAAGAATGACATTTAAATGATAAAACTACTAATATATTATTATCAGCGAGAAATTTTTAGATTACAATGTGTATATAAGCATACAACGGTTTTATTGTAATGTAATTTCACAGATGATAAGAAGACCAGTGACGATGTTAAAAAGGAAGGAGAAATCTTGACGGAAATGTTAGAGATAGTAGCAAAAAGAGATTCCTTAATCGCTCTATTAGAAGAAGAACGACAGAGGTGGTGTAAATCATTGTGCTTGACACACATATTACTTCTACAAATGCATGTTATGTCCATAGTTTTAATATTTTTTTACAAATCTGAGTATTTATTCTACATTTTCAAATTGTTAACTATTTTATTTGTTTGTATTTTTTCAATTCATATAGTGGAAATATTTATTAATTATTATCAGAAATCATTATCATTTCTTTATACAGATTTTTTTTAATATAGTAGTCGTGTATTTTTTTGAGTAAGAAAATAAAGATGCAAGAAGTTACATGCTATAATTAAGGTGCGGATGCTTGGGCACGATCGCGGGGCGCGCGGAGAACCGCTGCGTGCGAGCGAGTTGGGCACTCGCTGAAATGAGATAACAACATTTCTCGAGGAAACTCGAAGCACGCCAACTGCACCCGATCTATCCGAATATATCTATCTCAGTTGGCTTGAGAACTATTCGATGTAAACAGAGCGCAGAGATTTTTTCTATATTTTTCTGTATTGATTTGACATCGCGTGAGAACGCTTTTCTTCAAAATGCAGAAGTCTTTAGAGGAAAAATTGGCCTCAATTGAAATTGACAAAAATATTTATGATGTTTTTACAAAGCCGGACCGATTTTATTGCAAGCGTTGTTCTATCTACTTGTATAAGACAACTTCATGTTCTCTAAATCGATACGAGCAAAATAAAAAACATAAACAATATTTGTATAGATCGAAATTATTGGCAGATACTGTCTCCATGATTATTGATCAGGGACTCGGACTGAAGTTACGTTATGGATACATTATGGATATATTAAAATTTCGGCTGTTTACGATTATCGTCTGAGGATACCTAACTTTCAATTTCGGTATCGGTTTCAGTTCTTTTAGTGACAACGGTGACCGTCATAGGTATATAATTATCGAAAATTGAAACCGAAAAGGACCGAAATCCATACAAACTCGGTAACCGTTACAGTAAAAGAACTGGAATCAAAAATTGGATTTAGCCTCGGACCGTTATCCGGACCAAATTTTTTTCGATCCGAGTCCTTGCTATTGATACTGCAAAGGTATTACATCATAAATGTTTTTGTCAATTTAGTTAATCAACTAAAGTTTCACTTGTGTGTAAATGGAATGCGTGGTCTACAATAGGCAGTAGCAATGGATTAAGGAGTAGGTGTAGAAATCGACCAATCATAATTGATTATTCTTCTCAACTATACTTCGACTATAATTGGTTGATTTCTACGCCTACTCCTTGGCCTCTATTCTCGAAAAATATCGCATATGAAAAACTAGGAAAATAGTATAGTATGCGTCACATATACTATAGCATTTCCCTAGTTTTTCGTGTGCGATACTTTTCAAGAATAGAGGTCCTTAAATTCACTACTGCTACTGCCCATTGTAGATCACATGCAGAAAGTAACTAATATTTGGATAGATCGGATGCAGTCGACGGGCTTCGAGTCTCCTCGAACAATGTTACCATGGTGGAATTATAGAAGGTGAGCTATTCCCGTGGATGCGCAGTAGCCTAAAAGTAGTGGACAGCTAATCATGGAGGACTCATTTTATGAAAAAATAAAAGGATCCATAAAATGGGCCCTTCGTGATTGGTTGACAAAATATATCTCCATTATGCGCAATAGCTCACCTATAATTCCACTTTGGAGGTATCATTGTGTTTGATAGGCCGGAAAAATGAAAGATGGATCGTGATCGATTCGAACTATGACCGACCGCGACGTTTCGTCCTGGTCCCCACTACTGGGGACTCATCAGTAAGGCAATGTAGTTGGGACCTGCCTTAGACGCCCGAGAGAGTATTAGATCGGGATCTTATTTAAAGGAAATTCGTGTAACGGTGGCACTTACGAGAATCCGCGCGAGACCCGTTAGACCTCTGGTGGCGAGTCGCCACACCACTATGAATGTTACTATCTCATTTCAGCGAGCATCCGACTCACTCGCACGCAGCGGTTCTCCGCGCACGCCGCGGGATCATGCTCGAACATCCGCACCCTAGTTATTCGTATTATGTGAAAAGAAGAAGTTAATAATAGAATGTGTTTAAAATTATTTTTTAATCTAAATGTTTCTCTTTGATAGAAGCTAGATCAGGTGTAAATATTTTTGAAGGAAAATGATGATTGGAGTAAATAAATTTTTGTGAATACACCGTTTTAACAAGTTATATAGTATTTTTCTAAAATTAATACAAATATATTTATTTCTTTTTTAGATATCAGAACGAAGATCGCGACCTCGAAGCTCAAATGTTGGCTAAAGGCCTGAGATTAACGCCAATTAAGAAATGTGGTCCTAAATATTCAGTCTAAGGATGATACGCTTCTGTATATATATTCTCCGCTACAATTTTTTATTGCATGATAACACCAGAAGAAAATTTTATATGTATATATATATATAAAAAAAATATATATACGTGTATATATATATATATAAAATATTGTAAATAGTTTAGGTAATTTGAAAAAGATAGAGAAGACTCGTATATGCCTAGAATATATTTCTGCCCATTTTCAATATATTCAATATTTAATAAACATATCTTTTTTACAAATATGATTAAATTTTCTTATTTTTTACGTAAATTTTATTTTTTACATAAACGTGAAATCTACTCCATTGCCATTGTCGTATTATTTAGGGTATCGTTTTCACACGCTCACACGCTGTAAGCATCAGTTCATTCTTGTTGCCTATTAAATATTAAACAAGGCCAAATGATATTTACAAGCCCTATAAAAACGCGGAACGCACCTTTAATTGTAAAATGATACATGTGCGCGCGTTTGTGATCACTAACAAAGAGAGATCCAGATATGGAGATCACGGATTTTGAAAAATTTGATATTAAGATATATAGTTTGACGTCGTGAAATGTAACTTCAATCCTTTGATCCATTGGCACTTAAATGTTACGTATTACATTTCGTCGACGTCAAACTCTATATTTTAATATCAAATTTTTCAAAATCCGTGATTTCTATACTTGTATCTCCCCTTGTAAGTCATGGTGTCCAGCGATCCTTGAATATCCTAGAATCCTGGAATTGTACTGGAATTTTATGTATTCTCGAAAATTCCTGGAAAACCCGTGAAATTTCAGAGCTTGCCTGGAATTTATCATTTTTTCATTCTAAAAAAATTAGCGTAAAAAAAGAAAAAATAATAAGAAAAGTTGTGTTCGAGTATAAGTCCTCTCTTAAAAATGCAATAAGTTACCAATAGAAAATGAGAAACTTGAATTTAACGTTTAAAATAGATAGAACATAGTAGAAAAATTGTTTGTATTAATGGAATGTTCGTTTGATACTATAAGTTTATAAAGCAATAAATAATATTGTTCCAAATTTGTTAGCGTTTTAATTCATTCGTATAGAATCCTAACTTAAATACAAAGCATATAATATTGTGCAAATCGATGATCATTAATTAAATAATGAAAATTAATCGATGGAATAAATTCTGGAAAAACCAGAATTTTTCCTGGAATGTCCTGGAATTATCCTTGAATTGACTCGCCAGATTTTGCTGGACACCATGCTAGGTGTAACATAAAATAAGATTTTATTGCAAAATGTTAGAAAGAAGCGACTGGGCATAAATGAGAAACTAGATTTAATTGTAAATTTCTTCACAATCCTGAAATGAAACTAATTTCATTAGTTTTTGAAGAACAAAATAAAACCATTTTCATCATAAAACCAAATTTTTATTAATATTTTTATCAATATTTATTTGTATATATTTATTTTTTATCAATTTTTATCAATATTTTTCATCAAAATAAAACCATTTTCATCATTTTATTTTTTAAGAAAAAGACCAAATGATGTTTCATAATTCTAGCGCAAAAATCTTTTTATACGTTATACGCAAGATATATTTAAATTCCATATGTACATACTTTAACAATACAGTAATACAACCGAAGGATGCTCTTTAATTAACCATTTGTATTTGAGATACAACCACGGATAAGTTTTTATAGTGATAATATATTTTGTAGATGAAAAGCGTTTATGTATTTTATGTGTCAGTGTGTGTAGGTATATATATTTTTTGAAAAAAAAGTTACGCACAAATCTAGATCATTTTCTCGATGATGGTGATAGATACAGCTTCGACGCGTAGGACTTTCTTCGGAGGCCTTATCGAGAGAAATCGAAATAGTCCTGTGACATTTGTCGCCGTTTTTTAAATGGCTTTTATTCACATCAATGTCTAACTATTTCCCAAAGAGTGTATATAATATATACACACGCGCAAATAAACCTATACAAAATTTGGTTAGTATTATTTTCGCATTATTATGAGACTAAAATAATCAAAATAAAAAAGATACCTTTTATTTCATCATTTATATAGACACATGTCGGTAATAAAAAAAAAAAAAGAACTTAAAAGAACGGAAAGAAGTAGTGATTCGCGATTCATGAAATTCGTAAATATAAAGCGTGAAGTAGAATGTTATACATACATTTAAGCGTATGGCCACATATAAAGCGAATCTTAGCGGTGTTTTCAAATTTGTCCGCGCATTGCTCCGATTGGCCGAGATGAGGGAGTAGCCACCCTTTACACCGATGGTGCGAACGGTGTAAAGTGATGCTGACTTGCACTGCTCGCAGCGTCGCACAGCGTCAACTAGCGTCAACTGGCGTCAACCGTCGATCGTCAATCGCGTTTAGTGGTTTAGTCGATGCGCGCAGTTTGTGCGTGTAACCGGGTATTGTATGGTATCGGGGTACGCGGATACGCCAGGGTACTACACCTGCCTCCGTTCGCTTCGACGCTTCTCTCCGCATAGAAAAGAATCAGGAGCCGAGGAGAACGATTCGAAAAGATTGCAAACGCTACGCCAAGTGGCTCGTGCATCAAAGAACAATCAAAGAGTGAATATCCTGAGAGTGCCGTGGAAGGTGAGCCCGCGAGATGAGTACTCCGGTGAAGAAGGTACCCATTCATCTGCAGGTGAGTGCGTTTTAGCCAGTTTTAGCACCTGTAAACTCCCCGCTGCGTGGCTGTTAGAAAAAAACATCGTTATTTTTATCTATGTGCAATGATGAGCGAGGAACACGGTGACTTGATAAATTGCGATAAATTAGCTCCATTCTCAGCATTAGCTGCGTTACTTGTACTTTTTACAATATCTTCGCTTTCTTTCTCTTCAACGTCCAAATATATATATGTATATTTATCTCATTTTAAGTACAAAAATTTTGAGAGATTTCAACCAACGCGAGTAGGTCTATAAAGATCATTGGGTTCAACTTCTACCCTCTGCTCCGAAATCTCGTCGTCGCGCTGCTGGGCGTTGACAAGATTTTCTCCTGTTTTCGCGTATCGTATAAAAATTGTTGAGCGACATCAACAGTTAATTTTTCAGAAAATATTTTCATTTTCGATCGAGCGAATCTTTTTCGTATCATCTATTTTAAATGCGTGCCGTGAAAGTCTTCATCATCGAGAGAGTCATATATTCCATGTGGAGAGAGAAATTTTTTAACAAATACTATTTTTGGAAAAAAAAAATAAACGTTGAGAATTGTATCATGATTGATTTATTATTAAAGGGTGCGTCCCTCGCTTTAACGACGACGTTAAAAATTAAAACAGAATTAGAGCTAACAACAATCGTTAATTCGATCTAGTTCTGAATTTTATTTCGCTTTCTCGAATTAAAGCCTGCACTTTTCAATTTTACCCACTTTTGCGTAAAACGCTTTCTAATCGTAACCAATTTTTCTACTTACACTTAAACATTCGATTTATTCGAAACAAAGCTTGTATGTACGTAACATACATATATATAATTAACTCCTATTTTTTAGAATTGTTTGCAGCTTGCTTTAAAATATCACAAAAATTATGGCATTTGTTCGTACATACGTATTGAAACTTAAAGTATGAAATTCTTTTCATACTTAAAAATCTCCGTTAATATACCTGCTAATTAATAAGCAACAACGATATTTATAGTCGGTATAGTTCGTAGATTTAAACGGTATCCTGGTGGAAAAATTTCGCTGAAATGATTCCACGTTTTGGAACACTTTTCGGCAAAATTTGAGCATTTCAGAAAAATTTCAGTTTAATTTCATTTCTAGCAAAATTTCAGCAAAAATTTCAGAGAAATTTCAGAGTAATTTCAGTTCAGTTTCAACGATTTTTCAGTATGTTAGTTGAAAAATTCATTTTCAGCAATTTCGCTGAAATGTTCAAAAACATGGACTAATTTCAGCGAAATTTTTTCGTCAGAGTGTCGATATATTTTTTATAATTAATATTTTTTATAATTATCGTTAATAGTTGACAAAAATTTATGAGACACACGATTTAATCGTGCTCCCGATCGCATGAGAACTCTTAGCGATACCGTTTATCTTATTGAGGTTATCGTTTGCATATGACATAATGTGCATTTAATCGGACTAACACGGCTGCTAGAGATTACTCGTTCTATTTTTCGAATTTTATATATGTGCATGCGTGTTTTTATATCTTGTTACATAAATGATAAATCGTTGACTTTACTTGGTTGATTACTTGATATATCATTTATTTTTGACGTGCATCGTATCAGACATTTTTTAATCAATGAAAATGTTTATAATGCTTGACGCAAACACGATACCATTATATGATGACATGCGATTTAAGGTATATACGTACATCACATTATGTACATAAAAATAAATTGTTATCTTTTTTTAACGAATTCTCTCTGATATGGATAAAGTTATTTGATTTATTTATATTTTGATTTTGATTTTTTTTTAAATTAATCAAAAATTTTATGTTTTTTTGGATATTTATCAAATTTCTCAGATGAAGGTCAATCAATTGCTATATTTGGAAGAAAATGCATCTCGGTGCGCTCTTCTTTTACGCGTCAACAATCGGTTACTTCAATCGGTATCGATATAAACATCGCAAGCCTCACATATAGATATCCTATGAGGCGTGAAATTATTCTCTACTAAGACAGCGAAGAACTGTAGCTAATTCATCCTGTTGGTTTTATGGCGACTCGATGATTTTATTACCTTTTATCATTTATCACACACATACGTACGTATATAAATTGCATGAAGAGTCAGAATTAAAAAATATTCAAAAGAGTATGCCGTGTATGAAAATTACGGAACTATAAGAAAATATTGACGTCTAAATTTTATTTAATGATACACATTAATGATACATAAACGATACATTGAATTTTTTTAATTGTCTACAGAATTACACAATGTTTGCAAAGGATATATTATATCATTATATGTATACAACAATATAGTCATCATAGAAATAAGAAATGCTCGCGTTGATACGCGAAAGATAAATAAGCGGTAAATAATGCTTACGCTGCAATTTTTGTATACACGTAACTATTGTGAGGCACCGATTTAGAAAATGGGCAACATTTGTGGAATCTATACCTACAGTCTACACTATACGCGTTTCTATATGTCATAGTCAACAGAAATAAAATAGAAAGAAGCGTCGTCATTAAGTAACGCCTATATCGACGGTCTATTGTTAGGTCGAAGTCTATAGTTCGAGCTTGAATAGTTATTATGTGGCATCGGAATAAATATAAAATGCGACGAACATTCGTAAAAAAAAAAAACGCGACCATCGTAACATCTCAGCTCCAATATGACAAATGAAAGTAGTGTCGCCCCGTGGCAAGGTTGGTGTCCTATATTGATTCGTAGTCCATTTCTTAAATAAAACAAATCTAAACATAAAGTTAAAGAGAAAAATTAGAATTAACCAATAAAAAAATAATTTCTAGATCTTTTCGACAACACGGATAATACATACCTTATTACATTTGAATTATCGAAAAGATTTAAAGATTATTTTGTTCATTGTGATTAATTTTATTTCGATGATGCCGATGCAATTTAAACTCCAATTTTAGCATCTTGTCTTTAATTAGTACGTACTAGTTACTACCTATTGAAAGTAGAAAGCTCTCTCATCCTCTTTCTCACTGATTCTGCAAACGGAACAATCGCCATACCGTTAGATTCAAGCATGTTATCCCTCAAGCACTAACTGCATTTAATTTAACGTTGTTTATTAGATTAAAAAAATCTGGATTGTCTTATTGGAACTTTGGAATTTTCTATAATAATTTCTACGATAAATAAAGTTACGAGAAACCTCTAATTCATCATATCTCGATGCAATATCGATTGTTTTTCTTCTTCATTAGGATCTGCAAATAATTACAGATATTCAATGAAGATTTCATTGAAAAAGGATAAGGGGGGGACTTGGAAATTTGCATTGATACGTTCCTCAACTATACAATGTATGTAGATTTTGATGAGAATGAAAAACTTGAGCAGAAATACTTTTAATGTGTCTAAAATTTGTAATATAATATGATATAGTAGAATATAATGGAAAATGCACAGGGAAAATCATACGGTACTGCGAGAGGCGGTGAACGGTGAGTATAAGTGACGCGGGGCCGGCCGGTGCGACGCGGCGCTCTACGAATCAATAGTTCGTCGACTCGACTCGCCGACGTGTCGGGGGATAATGTCGGGAAAGCTCTCTGCCGGTATGTTCTTGAAATAAAAAAATGTTCTTGCACTTATACTGAAAATTATCTAATTGTAAGTACGAAAAATAACTAAAATAGATAAATTTCTAGCAAGTACTACAATATTGTACATGCATTGCGTCTAATCATATAAATGACAGAGATAGAATTTAGATTTGTGCTATAAATTCCATGCGTATGATACATAATTTTCTATCAGATACAAAAAACAGCTATAATTCTAGCTGGAGCAGCAAAATATTGTTTTGCGTGAAATACATTTTGCGACATTGATGGTTTTCGAATAAAATCGATAGTACATGTAGGCTGCTGTTCAATCGCTAATCCGCGAGTTGTTTCGGATGATGACGATTTTTGCCGGGGGTAAAAATACTAAAGATAAACCGGAGACATCTCTGGCGCCCTCGTGATCTTTTCGACGGAAAGAAACGCGATGAGAAGAATCTTCCTGACGAGACAAAAATGTCGTTGATTACAAATTAGCAAATACGCGTTTGCCTTTCTTCTTTTTTATCTTTACGGATCTTATGATCGTTGTACAATAATATGGGGATAAACAAAGGCGCGATTTGCGACGATACGTAAGAGATGACGTGACACACCCGCAAAAGATGTACAGTCACATGGAAAATGTATATATGTATAATTAACGGGAATTAATCTGGTTGTATTATTCGTGTAAGGCACACGATGAAAGAAATATTGGGAATAACAGGAATAAATATATTAAATATTAAAGAAATTAAAAAATTAGAAATAAAAATTAAACAAATAAAATCTCCATTGTTATAGGATCTCTCTCTCTCTCTATTCCTAATTTCTTCATTTCTCTAATATTTAATATATATGTATATTCCTGTTTCCAATATTTCTTCCATTGTGCGCTGGACCTTGCGTTATAATATTTTATTACTAGAAATTAAAAATTCCTATACCGGTCGAAGCTAGATCTTCGATGCTTTAAATAATTCAATGTGAATTATATATATAACATATATGTACTTGCGTATATACCATATTTCTAGTCCTTCAAACTACGCGCCGAATTGATTTTCCAGACTTATAAACGCAATTAAACTACTAGATAATATCGCGAATTAAATTAAATTGAAAAGCAATTCTTAATAATTTTTTATGCACAATCATATTAGCAAGATGTTAATGTGCTGAAAAACTGTAAATAAATTCATTGCGAAAAATATTACCTCGGCCGGGAGTCGAACTCGGATCTCTTGTATTTCGTAGGACGAGCGTCCTAAGCCATTAGACCGAGGCATAGGTACAGGCATTTTTAATTTCTAGTATCGAGTGTGTTCACACATGGTCTAAAATAAGATCCTTACTGTTAATATTTTATTACGTGTTTATTTCAACAGAGAGCACGTTATTTTTA